CACAATAATTTGAGAAAGGGGAGCAGCCCTATTACTGAATTTCACAATAATTTGAAAAAAAGGGGAGCAGCCCTATTACTGAGGGATATTTCAAAGAAATTACCACTCACATGCCTTGCGCGTGCTGATCCTAACAGTTCCTTCAAAGGTAAGGGGTTCAGTAATCAAAAGATAATGGCAGGGTGTTTCATAATAAGTGGCTGGGTTTCATAATAATTATCCAAAAAATTATAAAGAGGCAAAGGTACAGAAAGACTCTGAAAACCAAGTCAGTCCAGAATATTATCATGCTATACCTGGTTAGGAACATGTTTTATACCCTAAAATACCATTATAGTTACAAAACATTTTTTCAACCAGAGAATGATTTTGCATGATCGTACAACATCAACATATTGCATAATCCTACCAAGGAAGAATTCATAAAATATAAATTGACAAGCTTGAGGAAAACAGCCTTGAAAATATCATTATTGTTTACTTGAAATGCATAAGGGAGAAAAAACTAGCATACCACATCAACAAAATCATCATCATCATCCAGCCTAGATTTCTGTCCATTCCGATTCATCTCCAAGTCAATACCATCTTGTCCCTGAATAAATGTGCATTGCATAGTAACTATACAAAGTGATGAAACAATACAACGCAACCTAAAAAACAAGCACCCCTAGATTAATCACAGGGAAAACCACATACCTCCTCCTTTTGCTGTCTAAGGCGCTTTAAGTAAGCAGATTGCTTTTTGCGAAGTTCCACTGAAAGATTCTGAAGATCAGTAGCCAGTGATCTCTGCAAGAGGAAATATTCATATGAAACAATTGTCTAGGAAATATGTTACAAAATTCACCAGCTTCTAATATTGATCAATAAATTCTCCAGCCCCTTGTATTTTGCTGTATCACATGAACCGAGGAAACCTCAAATGAATAGAAACATGAAGTATACCTGAACATTTTTCTGAACATTCAAATCTTCTGAAGTACCAGTTGAAGAAAGTTTCTTTAGTCTTTTCTCTGACCTCCTTAACAAATGTGTAATCTCTTGTGTTAGAGTTTCAATTGCATGTTGTTCCTCCTTTCCATCTCCAAATGAAGGCATTAAAGCTTTTGCATGAGCCTTCACTAACTCTGACATTTTCTTCTGAGCACGTTGTATATCTACACCTATTTCTTCAGAAACATCCACCCAAGCTGGAGGTAAACCAACTGTGAGTGCGCCTCTACTGCAGGTGCCAAAAGATAAAAGAATCATAAATGATGCAGTACTGTAAAAGAAAATAATAAAGAGGAAAGACGATGATATAAGGAATTGTTCACAACAATTAAGGAGAATAATTAAGTAAAGTAAATGATAATTATCATTAACAACTACATCGACAACAACAACACGGTAAAGTTAATACTCGACAAAATTGTGATATGTAAGCCCTGATTTATATTTAGAAGGGATCCATGCCACTAGATAACAACCTATGTTGCATGGGTACGGGTACGGGTACGGGACACAACAAATTTGTAAAAGGTACGGTACGGGGACACAGCTATATAAATCTTTATATACACGTACATTATATATTGGAATTAATATTTCGTATGAGAACAAGAATGAGAATTCAATTTACTATAACATTTTATGTTTCTTTTATTATGTGGATTATAAATTGGAAAATAACTAGATTTTGAACTAGACATCCAAACGACCCTTCAAAATCACAATTTGGAACCTGGTCTATGTCCAACTACCTTCAAGAAGTGGATGCAAAGTGTAGGATATATGTCCAGAAAAATGTATGACAACAGTTTTAAGTTAAAACATGTATCGCATAATTGAGTATATGCCCGACTAAATGTATGCATATATGCAATAAGTGTCCGAGAAGTTTGTGTATGTGTATGTGTACATGTCCATTACGAGTATAACTTCAAATTAGAAGTACCCAAGTAACATATCAATATATCATGATATAAGCTCTCGGTTTGGAGTTCCTAGATAAGGAAAATAACGACATAAAAAGGGCTCGACACAAACCTGACTAGAGCAGCATGCAGTAAGTCAAACTTACCTTGTCAGGTTATACAATTAATACTGTTGAAACCTATGAGCAACCTCAAAATATCGAGACTAATAAAACATCACCGAAATAAAAAGATGGTCAGTTTTCCTGGGGAATTATATCCAACTCTGAGGCTGGGGATTTATACTCAGCACTGAGGCACACCATAACCAAAGATCCAAGTTAAACCCATTCCCTTTAGGTTGCTTTTTTGTACTCCAAATGCAATTCACATGCAGTGTCGTATATTTAGTAATTTAACCCAAGCATGTTGCATTACCATGTTTGGTACAAATCAAACATTCCTGTGCGTGTAGTATTCTTTTATTGATAATAGAAAAAATCCGGATCACCCTGAACATGCATCTTCTACACTATGGTTGAGGTGGTAAAGGCTAGCTGACAATGGCAGTGATGGCTACAAAGGTGATAGTTATGACAACAACCACAAGAAATCTCAGGACCCATCTATTGAGGTTTTCACATGATATTAAAACAAGAACAAACATGTTTCTAAATGCGGCGCAAAATCTGATATTAGATATTTAAAATAGTCACCCTCTTTCTTTGAATTATATAAGGTCCCTTCTATTTAGCAGATCAAGTCCATGGAATCGTCGGATGCCTCCTGACATTCACCATGCTTTTCACAGTCAATTAGGAAGCTAACCCAATAAGGTGTATGTTGTTCATGGTAGAACATTAGATCTATCAACAGTTTCATATCAAGCAACAAAGAGAAAAAGCAAATATATGATGGTAATTGTCTTATAATGCTTCACGTGACAATCAAATTTCTCCAAACAGAAATTGATTTCATATATGAGGTCATGTTGTTGGGAATCATTCGGCACTCCAAGAAGTAGTTATGTGAACATCAAAATAAAAACTTTTCAGCTATTTATAACTTATTGGTGTCAAACATTATGTTTTCTGAAGATGATTTAAAACATTACAACAAGATCTTTAGTTCCGATGAGATATATAACTTGAGTTGACAAATTATTCCTTTATTTGGGTGTCCAAAGCTATACATAGTCTGTTTAACTCGTAAGTATGCAAGTATGCATGAATAAATAAGTACATTATTTTATTTCCTGCAACATAACTACTCATCCATATAAACCAACCCAAAGTGATGTGATCCATCATAAATTTTAGCTGAATTCAGTCTAGATCCACAACACCAATCAATTTCAGAACCATGAAACCTAAAAATCATGAAAATTATAATTTTTAAAAAGACTCAAAATTCAAACCTTGAGCTGCCGGGATCTTCAGTACTAAGAGGAGCATAGGACCGATTCGGTTTCGGATGCAACAGCGAAGTGCTCACCAATTCGATCACAGGCCCGTTCCCTGACCTCGACGTCGACGGTCCAGATTGAGACTGAAGTGACGACACGGACGGAACCCTAACGCTCCGAAGCGCATCGCGATATTTTCTGAACAAGTGAGTCCGATTCCTCGTCGCCATTGAAGAAAAGTACTAAAATCTCCCCAAAATCTAATAGAATTGGGTGCTATTAGCGTAAGATTTGGCTCATAGTAGAAGAATCTAGGGTTTCATTGCCGGCGTAAGATCAGGCGGCGATGACCGAGATTCGAGGATTCCGATGAGGAAGAAAAGTTTCCGCTCGTAACTCGAGAAAAGAAACTGTAAATGGGCCAATATCCTTGGAATTAATACAGTTCGGAACTACCTTTGTATTTAATTGTGGGGCCCAGCTCATCGGTCTAACTGCCACTTGCCTTGGGCTTAAGACATGGGCCGTACCTAAAAAAACATGAGAAGAGGTTTAAGTATGTGAGATTGTGATTACGTGGGTGTGTTTGGCAATTCGATGTGTTTGTTTTTGTTGTGTTTTTTAGAAAAACACCATGCCATGGTGTTTTTTTTTCAAACATATTTTAAAAACACCATTTATAGTTATTATTTATAAAGCGGCGGCGGCGACGGGCAGGCGCGAGTGCTGGAGACGACGACGGGCGGGTGGTGACGACGACCGGCGATGGGGGGCGGCCGATGGGGGGCGGCGGGGGACGGGCGGGCGACGGGCAGGCGGTGGCCGGCGACCAGCCGACGGGCGACGGCGACGATGACCGTCGCGTCGTGGGCGCGGGCGGATCGCGACCGCCGACAGGAGAACAGGCGGGCGGCGACGGCGACCAGCCGACTGGGCGACGACCGTCGGCGGCGGCAGTGAGCCGACCGGGCAGGCGGCGGCTGACGGGCGATAGGCGAGCGCCAGGACGGACGGCGGCGGCGCGGCGGCGGCCGTATGACGGTCGGCGCGGCGATGGGCGGACGGCGGCCCGACGACAGGTCAACAGCGACAGTGGCGGCGGCGCGGCGAACCAGCGGCCGGGGCGGTCGACAGGCTTAGATTGGAAACGGAATCTCAAATACCTTTTTGGTGTTTTGAGAAAATGTTTGAAATTTTTTGATTTTGTAAAAGGGTCAAGTCAAAAAACGTCCCGGTTGCCAAACGCGTTGTATTGTTTTTGTTGAATAACCAAAAACAGAAACGCAAAAAACGCCAACGGTTGCCAACGCTCTGGCCGGCAAGCCAAACCCTTGTGATGAATCTCAAGAAGAGTAGATGTTGTTTTCATCATATTAAAGTATTGATTATTTAGTGTCTGTCTAGTTTAAAAGTAGAATTGAGTTGCAAACTAAAAGGAGGGGCAACCACATCTCTCTCCGTCGTCTCTCGTCTCTCTCTCTCATCTCTCTCTGCTCGTTCTCTCCCCGCCCCCTCTACTCGTCTGCTATATATATATATATATATATATATATATATATTATATATACGAAGAGAGAGAGAGAAAGAGAGAGCAGAGATTAAATGGGTATCCTTGTCATAGGAGGGGATTTCCTCCTTGACGCCTCTAAAATCACATGATTGAGCGATATTGTGGATGATCCGCTCCGTTGAACTTGATCTACATATTCTAAAACCCCAATACACCAAGTTTGGGGTGAACCCGTTGTCGTTTGACCCTTCATCCACTCGTATCAATTTTAACGGTTTTGAATGAATAGAACTTTTCACATGGCTCGATGGAGGGTCAAACGACGACGGATTCACCCCAAACTTGGTGTGTTGGGGTTTTAGACTATGTAAATCAAGTTCAACGGAGCGGATCATCCACAATGTCGCTCAATCATGTGATTTTAGAGGCGTCAAGGAGGAAATGCTCTCCTATGACAAGGATACCCATTAATCACACACACACACACACACACACACACACACACACACACACACATATATATATACTAGTTGGATTGCACGTGCAATGCACGTGGTAAATTTTTAAATAAATTTCATTAGCAAACAAATATCATGTCAGAACAGAATATGTTCCAAGAGTAATATAACAGGACCAACCACCACGAGCAACAAATGAGAAACATATTCATATACACACCAACATAGCAATTAATGTCATGTACACTTCAGCTTCACCAGCCAAAAAATTCATGGAACGGCTTAAGGATGAAAGGCATTGTGGCAAGAGCCGCCTGCAAGCAACATAGTTCGTTCAACTGTCTGATATGTGTTGACAGTAAAATGATAGTTACTTCCATGTAACAATATGAAAGGATGAAAGGCATATGTTTATATTAATGAACAAAATCTGGTACTAAGAAAGTTAACTTAAAGCACATGTCCAGATAAGCTGTATTGATATATAGTGTGAACCGAGTAGCATAAACTATAACATATTGGCATTTAAGGCTATGGAAGGCAAGTGCATATTGCAGAGTACAACCTTCAAGATGGTGACATAAGGATATGATATCACATTCAACCTTTCAAAGTTCAATACGTATCACCTACCTTTAAAATAATGTGGCCAACCTCCTATGAAGTGTATAACCAAATACTTAAATTTTCTACTTCATTGTTTTGTTGACCCAAATTAACTGTTGAAACTTCAGCATATGTATGATGTTTTCTGTCTCCATTTACAAGAATATCCAAAAAGAAAAAAAAAAGAAAAAAACTAAAATTGTTTAGAACAAAAGCATACCATCTAGTTATTTCTTGTTAAAGGCAAACTTTCCAGCAAACTAATATTATGCACCCTTGGAAAATGAACTACATTAACACTGGGGGTGCTTATAAGTATATTAACTTCTTTATGTTCGAGTGGAATGTATTGGCACTGGCTCGAGGAGACTTATATGAAAAATTCTCAGCACCAAGATATAGTTCCTTTTGGCCCATGTAGATTCATTTCATATCTCCTGAATCAATAATCTTAATCTAAAAATTCCGTATCATAAAAACCAACTTCAATCCATAGGATAAATTTCCTACTATTTTTTATAGATAAATTGTGACATCATGAAAATACATTTCAGAAAAATTAGATACACAACAGAAGCAGGAAGATAGTCATTAGGCATATCAAGGATTTGACTTGAATGAACTGAATTTATGTTCTGATGGATTTACTTTTAACCAATGAAATACTAAAAATTCAAATACCCCTGCTTATTATTATATTTGTACCCAATTTCGTTAGAACCCCATATGAATTTATCTCAGGCAAGTACATGCCATAACAGGTAATGTGACTTTTGCTAGAACAAAATGTGTTACCCAGCCATGGTATCTATCCTCTAGAAGATATATGTACTCAACTGAAATTGGTTTTTACAATGTGCTATGAACTTATTTAATAAATAATCAGTCTTCAAAAAATATGACAAATAATCTATAATGTATGCATTCCCGCAAAAGTTATCTAGAAAAGAATCTATAATGACTAACATGATTAAAATAAAATAATTTTTTCTGCGGTTAAACAAAACCTTGCTAAAAAGAAGAAAGTGAAGAAAGATACAAAACATAGATCACTTAGACACTTACTGCAACTGTACATGCAACCAGTCTTGGCTTCTCTCTGTAGTCCTGAGACACGAACACAAGGATGAAAACACCAACATACCACAGAATTGCAGCCAGAAAGAAACCAGCTAAGAACCTTCACACAGTTATCAGATTTATAACAGTGACCACATTCAGTTTTAAATAGGTCATGGAAGAAGGACCAAAAGGAAAGAAGCATAAAGCTACACAAACATGTACCAACATGTCAACTGTATAGGTTAAAAGGTGCACATTAGGGTCATTAAGGACTTCATACTTAGTCTTAAAACCCATTTTCAAGGTATGATCTTAAATAAATCATGGGTTCAAACTAAGATGATAAAGATAAAGACACACGGGCACGGGCACGGGCACGACACGACGAACTAAAACATACGTTTCTCATCTAAAAAGTGATTTCTTTGATACATGCAATAAACATAGTATCAAATCGATATCTCTTAATGCTGATATGAATTTATTGAATTGCAAACCAAGGAACGAGTTTCTATGTATAAATAGGCACTTCAAAAAAAAAAAATTAAATCAACCACAAATAATAATAGAAACTGCAATCTATATTGCATCATTAAACAACTAAACAGAAGATCAAAATTTATAATCAATAAGCATTTGATCTAAGCATTAACAACAAAGAATTCACCAGATCTAAATAGAAGAAGAAATCCAAACCCTTTGATATGTACACAACAATTTCCACTCTGTTGTTTCATGTCCAGAACATACAAATCCTCTGCAAACAAACCAGCTGGACTGATTCCACCCTAAATTTCGTCGATTTAGTGATAATTAATTACGAAAAGCCCCCATATTTCGAATCTATGTGTTTCCATAAATAAATAAGCACGATACAAAAGATAATTAATAACTTCCTATGTACCTGAATTACAACCATTGTTCCCTCAGCTATTATTACATGAGCAGCTCTCAGAGATGGAGGCTCTCCAAGAGGAGTGAGCCTGAAATCATCACACGGTAACAAAATCAGTAATTATTACTTACACATTCCATCTCCAATACATTAACCTAATTCATTAAAAAGAACACACTTCTTCCAAAAACCTTACCTTGACCACTTATTTGTTAGCACATCATAACAATGAACATCAGCTGTAGCTCCTGCTAAACCTGCAAAATCCAATAAAAACAACATAATTTAACAAAAATTTTCAACTTTTATCAATTCAAAGATCTAGGGTTTAATCTTCATATCAGAATCTAGAGTTTGAACTTACGGATTCCAGCGCTCCTCGCTGATGAAGGCAGTTTTGCGTTATTTCCTTCAAGAGCAGTTGCTCCGCCAAACAAAATAAGCCGAGGGCCAACATAAGCAGCGGTCCCCTCCTCCCCGACGGCAGCAGTTGCTCCGCCAAACAAAATAAGCCGAGGGCCAACATAAGCAGCGGTCCCCTCCTCCCCGACGGCAGCAACGGTCGTTAACGTGTGCCCGCACCTTGATATACAACAAAATACAACATTGCCGACGAAACAAAAACGTCGGCAAAAGTTTAAAAAACGTCGGGAAAAATCTTTCCTGACGCGAAATGCAACGTCGCTAACGTGTCGCCAAAAGTGCGTCAAGGAAAGTATTTGGCGACGCAAATACACTGCGTCGCCAAAAGTACACTTTTGGCGACGCGTCATGCGTCGGGAAAAGTATATCTTTTAGCGACGCATAATATTTTGCGTCGGCAAAAGTGTACTTTTGGCGACGCATACAGCGTCGGCAAAAGCTATGCGTCGGCAAAAGTATAGCTTTTAGCGACGCAAAATTGTTCGTCGCTAAAAACTATACTTTTGGCGACGCAAGTTAACGTCGGCCAAAGTTTAGCTTTTAGCGACGCAGAATAAAGCGTCGCTAAAAACTATACCTTTGGCGACGTAAGATAGCGTCGCTAAAAGATATTATTTTTGACGACGCAATCTAGCGTCGGCAAATGTATTTTTTTTAGTCGGTAAAAAGTATATTTTTATTGACACTAATTTGCATCGCTAGAAGTAATATCTTTTCTGTCAACTACACTAAACCTGAACATCCACAACAAATTTGCTCCAATTCACATCAACAAAGAAACCAAACATCAAATTATACTCCAAACAAGTTGCATATTAACAGCTAAAATAATATCGGTGCTTATTTTCACAATCATTAAAATGAAACAAATAATAACATTAGTAAATAAATTTAAACACAATTCTATTAAACAAATAACAAGTGTTTGACACATGTTTTATTAACAAATCCAACAATCATGATTAAGTAGACTTGAACAATAAAGACTACAGAGAACCCATGTCTTATCAACGTTGCAAGCCTTTCCTTCGTCACGTCTCTGGCTTCTTCTTCCCACCTTCACCATCCATCTCCAACTTTTGTTGTGTAGCTGCAATGGAAAGAAATGTACTCAGTAAGGCAAATAAAAAGTTAAAATCAAACACAAAAAAGAGTATCATAACGTGAAAAATACCCTACAAAAAATTTAATATAAAGTTTGAAAAAATTACAGACATGAAGTTTTAGTACACATGTATGCATACATTATCAGAATCAGCGTCTAAGATGATATCCTTAATGTTCCCTCCATCATACAAGCCCTTCTCCTTAAGCGCCTGCTCGAGATCTTCAATCGTGATAAAACTGTATATATACATACATACACAACATATTCGAACAAATTCTAAACCATTAAAGTAGAAAAAACCAATAATTACAGAAAAATTATCGTCACATACCCACTATTATCCTTGTCGAAATACTGAAACGCTGTATACAAATGTTCTTCTCTATCCATTCTATTCATGTGCATCGTCGCGGTGATGAACTCTTCGTAGTCTATCGTTCCATTTCCATCTGCGTCGGCCTGTAATAAATTCAAACACACAAAAGCTTTTAGCCTAGAGTTGTATATATATACCTGTGAATTTTTATGCATACTATTGCAATGCTTACAGCTTCCATTAGTTGTTTAACTTCCATTTCTGACAGTTTTGTTCCTTGCTTTGTGAGACCTTGTTTTAGTTCTTCGAGTGTTATAGTTCCACTGTTATCGGTGTCCATGCCCTTGAACATCTCTTTTAGTCCTCTTATTTCTTCTTCTGATAAACATCCAGCTATTACCTGCACAATTGCGAAATTAGTTTACAGATTTTTTTCCAGCTCGAAGTCAGATCAGCCCGTAATGTTTTACCTCGGAAACCTAATATTTTCAAGTCTATTCGAGTCCTCATGGAGGTTTTCCACTCTAAACATGGACAAAAAACACTATTCTGTTGAGGGTAAAATGTGAATGTTTCTCGCGGCAAACCGCCATAAGGACTCAGTAGACTGGAAACAACAACTCCAAGAGCTTAATGCGTTAAAAATATTAGGTTATGGGCTTCTTAGAAATGTTGGCTGAACGTTAGGGGCTGATCCTACTTCGAGGTCGATTATTGTAAATTTATATGCATTGAAGTTTGTTTGTAGTAAATGTGGCCTACTCTTAATGCAGCTTTCTTGAATTTGTTCATCGCCCTGAACTGCTTCAGTCTGCCAAGTACAACATTATCAAGAGGTGTATCTGGTGCTTCTCCATAATGTATGCAATCTTACCTATGTTCATTGAGGCCGTGTATAATCACCAGAATAGCCCTGCAAAACCAAAAGGAAAAACAAAACAAATGTTGGTTGATACTTTTGTCCAGCATCTAAGAAAAAATCAGCAAAAAAAAAAGTACCTAAGAAGTAAGAACTTACAGAAGTACTACAAAAACATTTTATTAGCTAAAGAAATGATTCAGACTTCCGCCTAGTGGATCATACAAAACCATATAAGAATGGATCCTCTCCAACAAATACATTATAAACTCCTGCCTCTGCCTCCTTTCGACCTGAAGTTTTCAAATCAAAAATGAGAAATTATAAGAGAAATCACCTAGTGCATTTGAGACATTTTGATCCAGATAAAGAGAATGGAGGGGAAGCACATTAGAGTGTAAGGAGGAGCAAACCACAGGAAGGAGAAAAAAGGGGAACATGGAGTAAGCTGCGACCAAGCACAAGGCGATCTCTTAGTGTAAACCAATGTCTCAACTAACCTATCAATTGATCATAGATAAAGAACATCATGATGATGTCTTTTCTTTACATGCATCAATTCTGCCTATTATCATAAAGGAAATTGTCTTCGTATCATTCATAAGCCAAAAGCATAGAATATTTTTCTGTCCGCAGGTAAATTGCAACTATAACCAACCGCACCAAGTGCGATACTACAAGCTTACACCACAAAATTGCATCCATGAAGCGCCAAAAGTACACTGATCAAGAAATCTAGTAATCAGATTGCATGTAAAAACAATTCAGTTAATCTTGACCTAGAAATACAGAACAAACTAAGCCCATCATCAAGTTCTACAATTAACCATTAAAAAAAATCCAGAGAAATCACGAATAAACTATCTCAAGGGCAGATAATACTCACAGTGTTGCCAAACGTTGCCAGCCAAATCCTCGGTCTTCTTCGCTGCTTCCCCCATCTTCCCCCACCTCCCGAGCGCATCTTTTACTGCCCCAACAGGATCCAATCACAGTTTCAACACTCAATCAAACGTAAACCCCTAAATTAAAAACCAATCACAAAAAATATCCTAACAGGCCGATTCAATCAAAGATCTGAAATTAAAGAGATCGCAAAGGGGCTCACTCTTCGAGGAGGATGAAGCGGCGGCGGGAGAGGGAGTGACGTATGGGTTGGACTCCGGCGGCATGGTGGTCGCCTGGTAATCACCAGCGGTTGCGGATCTCGCCGCCGTGTCCGTCGCCGGAGGGGGAGGAGCCACGTCAGCGGGGTCGAGCTTAGGGTAGGGAGCGTAGTCCGCAGAGTGAGAGTGCTGGTCGCCGCTGGGCTCGGTTTTGGCCTGGACAATTTTAACGGGTTGATCAGCGACAGCGGCGGAGGGTTCCATGATTTTGAAAGGGAAGAGGGGATGTCTTCTCTTC